CGGTAAGGAGGCACCGGGAGCGCCCCGAGGGTGGTCGGGGCACCCCCAGCTGTCCAAGGGAGGTGGGTGCCACCCCCGTGCAGGGCTGTCCCCATTGCTGTCCCCAAGGGATCACCAGGGCACCCTGAGCTGCCGGGGGAAGGGGGGTGCAGCTCCCTTCCGTATCCCCACGTGCCACCCCCGTGCAGGGCTGTCCCCATTGCTGTCCCCAAGGGATCACCAGGGCACCCTGAGCTGCCAGGGGGAGGTGGGTGATGTTCCCATCCTTATCCCCAAGGGGTGACCAGAGCATCCTGAGCTGCCCAAGGGAGGTGGGTGTCACCCCCGTGCAGGACTGTCCCCTCCTGTCCCCATCGCTGTCCCCAAGGGGTGAACAGGACACCTCAAGCTCCTGGAGGAGGTGGGTGCCACCCCCATGCAGGACTGTCCACTCCTGTCCCCATCACTGTCCCCAAGGGATCACCAGGGCACCCTGAGCTGCCGGGGGAGGTGGGTGCCACCTCCTTGCAGGACTGTCCCCATTGCTGTTCCCAAGGGGTGACCAGGGACCCCAAACTGACAGAGGGGGAGGTGGTGCCACCCCCGTGCAGGACAGGTGTCCCCTCCTGTCCCCAGCCTGTCTCAGCTGTCCCGCGGGCACGGAGCCCGTGCTGGGCTTGGAGTACAAGTGGTGGAACGTTCTGCCCCCCAACATGGAAACCACCGTGCTCAGTGGCATCAACTTCGAGTACAAGGACATCGCAGGTAGCTCCTGTCCCTGCCCTGTCCCCTCCCACGGGACAGGAGGGGACACCACAGTGTCCCCTGTCCCCAGGCTGGGAGGTGGCTGGGGACTACATCTACACCGCGGCCGGAGCCTCGGACAACGACTTCATGATCCTCACGCTGGTGGTCCCTGGCTTCAGGTGAGGTGGCACCACCCCTGGGTGACCACATCGGGGGCACAGCCACGGGGCAGAGCTGGCAGTGTCCCCACACTGTCCCCAACCCACCCCTCAGCCCTCCAAACCCAGTGCTGGAGGACTCAGAGAGCAGAGAAGTCGCCAGGATCACCTTCGTCTTTGAGACCATCTGCAGCGTGGGCTGTGAGCTCTACTTCATGGTGGTGAGTGGGGGGACACGGCGATTTTTGGGGGGGTGACACTGAGTTTGGGGGTGTCACACCATTCCCTGTGCCCACAGGGTGTCAACTCCCGCACCAACACCCCAGTGGAGACCTGGACAGGTCCCACGGGGAAACAATCCTACACCTATGTGGTGGAGAAGAACGCGACCATGAGCTTCACCTGGGCCTTCCAGCGCACGCCCTACCACGAGGGGGTGAGGGATGGGGGGCCCCACTTCCCATGGGGGTCCCCAATTTTGGGGACAGGGGGTCCCCACTTTGGGGTGGCCCTGGGAGTCCCCAGTTTGGGGGATAAGGAGTTCCCTAGTTCAGGGTGGCCCTGGGCGTCCTGAATTTGAGGGACAGGGGGGGTCCCCAGTTTGGGGACAGGGGGTCCTCACTTCCCCTGGGGGTCCCAATATGGAGGACAGGGGGTCCACACTTTGGGGTGGCCCTGGGGGTGCCCAATTTGGGGGACAGAGTCCCCACTTCCTCCAGGTGTCCCAAATTTGAGGGATAGGGGTCCCCACTTCCCCTGGGGGTCCCCAATCTGGGGGACAGGGAGTCCCCACTTCGGTGTGGCCCTGGGGGTCCCCAGTTTGGGGGATGGGGGTCCCTACTTCTCCTGGTGGTCCCCAATTTGGGGGACAGGAGTCCCCACTTTAGGGTGGCCCTGGGGTTCCCCAATTTGAGG